AACAGCATTCTGTGAGAAACAATTCAATATATGGAATATACAATAAAAAAGTTTTATATATTATCATTATTTGTAAATTGTGTGCCCATTCTTAATATTAGTAAAATTTATAAACTGATATATGCACGTATACTTCCTTTTCTTTGGAGTACCAATTGATAAACCTTTACCTGCACACCACTGGGACAGGTGGAAGAAGAGAAAACTTTGAAGGAGAAGGAGACAAAGTAGAAGTGATAAGAGATTTACACAGAGAACCAAGAGGCTACACTAAAAGAGAAATAAAGGTTTAAAGAAAGTTTCCCCAGGAGTCGTGAACAGAGCCAAGAACACAAGAGGCCCAGGAAGATAATGACTGGAAAATTTAAAAAATTAAATTAAAATAAAGTTGATTAAAAAATAAACAACCAGAAACACTTTGAATAAATGGCAGAATTAAAAAGTATAACTTCAATTAATGCCCCTCATAAAATTTTAGATGAAAAGCCTCATTTTAGATGAAGGTAGGAGGTGGGAAGGTCAGAATAGGCAGCACTTTTTGATATCTGTTTCAGAAGTTTGCATTTTAGGCACTTTGAGAAAATGAATTTCCTTTTCTATAAAACAATATATTTTATTAAAAATATTGAAATCTTCAAGACTTCAGATAATCATAACCTGTATGCACTGAAATAACAAAACTAGAATCCTCTTGATGAGCTACACATATTAGATACTGTCTTGTAATGGATTCTTTCATATTTCTGAAGTGAAATTAGTGCGTCGATCCAGTTGATATGAGGTATTTCCTAGCACTTTAATTTCCAGCTCTATAGAAATGTAGCAACCTATTTTTTCCCCAAATCTCTAGTATTTTTGCTATCATATATATTTATGTGTTCCTGTCCTTTCTCTCTGGAAGGTTCTAAGTTTCCAGGAGGTTGAAACTGTGTCTGCAATGCTTCTGCTCACAGAACTTACTACAGTTCTCTACACAGGTTAATATGCTGAGCATAGTTGATTTTAAAGACTTGATCCTCCCCAAGAGAATTCTATAATCTTCTAAGCAGTTAGTCATAATCTGAAAGGTCACATCTCTGTGGATTCTAAAATTGAATGAAAAAAAAAATTCAGGGTGAATGGAAAATATCCACAAGGCTTCATTTATCCAATATTAGTTACAGTTAACATGATCTCAGATCTGAAAGATTTACCATCTTTTTACTTAAAATAGTGACCTCATATCTCAAATGCATTTACTTAAGAGAGAACATTTGATAGAATTGTATTAAACAGAACAAAAGCGTAGGGTCAAAAATGAACTCTGACTTAATCTTTTTCAGGGCAAAAGAAAGTACCGGAGAGAGTGGAAAAATTTGAGATGAAGTCATTTTTTATATTAACTTAATGCTTGAGACTTCAGAATTTATCTCAAACTTAAAAACAAAGATCACATGCAGAACACAATCTACCTGTCTGAGGTAGAAATTATTGAATTGGAAAGTTATTTCTTTGGTTAAGAAGATTTTATTCTCTGGCATTTATTTTTGTCAATCTTAATATTGAAGAGAAACATTATTCTTATGATCGAAGAAAGAAAAAATGCTATGCATTCCAATTAGAAAGGTAAGTAAACTTTTTATCTGAGAAGAGGGTTCATAAATATTACCCTCTTGGTTCATCACACCTCAGAGAATTTCTCTCTCTTACTTTCGGGCAGTAGCATTTGACTGTCGTTCTGGCTTTTGTGCAAAGGTATATCCCAAGAGATTTCCAACCTAGTTGGTTAGCAACGTTATCACACCTTCTCTTTAAAAGGACTGTTAAACATAACAGAGAAACTCTCAAACATTTTAATGGATCCCAATGGGTAAATGCTATTTCTTTTGGGTGGTTTCATTTATTTGCTCTCATGATGCATTACATAAAGTCTATGCTGGGTTTCATCATGTTAAACCAAGGCGCTCAAAAAAACAAAAAAAACCATTGACCTCTTCAAATACAGACTACTCATTAATAAAAACATAACAGCACAATTAATATAATTAATGTAAAAATTGATTAGGAAAACAAGCTTTTTCTTGCTGTTTCTCAAAAATATCTAAATCCTCTAAAACAAATGTTTCATTCACATTTTGTTTCCAAAAAAAGAAAAATAACACAAAGGAGTTAGTTATTATATTATTAGAGTTATAATTAGTTATTAGCTATTTTATAGGAAGTTGATGAACTCAGTACATTTTGAGGCGAAGAGGAGTTGGCTCCTCTTACCAAATTAACAGAAAATATATTATTTTAAGGAAAACAGGTTATCCTTCTCTAGCTGTAATTCTGATTATATAATTTACTAACTGCATAATATAAAAGGAGTAAAATATAAAACCAAGCAGAATGAAAGAGTCATGCAGTGTTCATAGTTACACAGGTTGCCAAGACATATACAATTAAGGATAGTGAAGAAAAGTGCAGGGTCTAGGGGATGAGTCTGAAGTCTTGAATTACAAAGCAATAGAAATAAAACTAAGGAAAGACATGGCATAAGAGGGAGGAGAAAAGGTGAATAAGAGGAACAAGATGCAATCAATAAAACACATTAGTAAAGTGATATTTATGAAATTAAAAAAGATTAATGCATGTCAGGCAATGAACAACAGAATCATTTTAGCATTCATCTTCAGTGAAGGCACGCTACTCTGATTTAACTGTCGCTTATACTTCTTTTGATTTTTCTGCTACCTTTCAGATAACAAAAATCTCCGGAGGAGGCCAAATGCTGCTTTGATCTGGCATTGGTTCTAGCTCAGCTCTTGTAGATCAATTCTGAACCTGTAAGAGTCATTTCCAGTATAAGTGAACAAGTTCATGGTTTTCCATCCTGGTAAGACTGCACTTCTATAAGTTGCTATGTGGAAACTATGATCTGAGAACTCCAAATCTAATCTATCGGCAAAGCCCTTCAGCTCTAATTTGACAATATACTCAGAATCTCACACTCTCATCATCCCCAACATTACAACACTGGTCTAAGCTCCCATCACCTTTCACCTAGATTTCTGTAGGAACCTCCAGGAAATCTCCCAGCTTCTGCCATTGCTATACATACATCCACTCTTAGGATTGTACATTGTGAGATTTAAAAATCAGATCCTTACAATGTCCTTCAAAACTCTTATGATCTGGCCTCTACTACACCTCTGACCTCAACCTTTAACATTCTTCCCATCTCTCAATATGCTCTATCCATTTTGGCCCCTTGTTTTTCCTCAAATGTTATGCATATCCCCACCTCAGGGAATGTGCCTTCGTGATCTGCCTAAAAATTCTCTTCCTTCATGATTTACTTCACTTCAATTTTCATCAGGTCACTGAACAAATGTCACCTTTATAGAAAGACCTTCTCTGGCCACTACATAACAGCAGGTTCCCCCCCTCACTCTTAGTATTCCTCCTTTTTTTTCACCTTTTCTGTAGCACTTTTTACTTATCTGACCTACTGCGTATTTACATGTTTATTTGGGCAAGGGACATTGTTTGTTCAGTTTTCTCCCTCCAGTGCCAAGAACTGGACCTGGCATATAGATGTTTAATAATTATTTATTTATTGGATGAAAGAATGTTTAAGTGAATAAATGGTCAAAAGGCTGAGCAAATTGGCTGCCCTTCTGAATTTATCAGGCTGATCCTCTTAACTAAACAGGTCCAGAGACCATGTAAAGTGTCCACTGGAACACAACAAAGTGATGTGACTCAGATATATAAGTTCTTTCAGTGCATTTCCTATGATCCAGACCAAGGTTCATTGGAAAATGTGTTTCCATAATATCTCATGTACACTAGCCTCAATCAAGAAGTTATAAATAATCTCAAAGTAATCACAAAAGTATTTACATTGATGTTTTGTAGGATAACAAAAAACTTTGTAAAGTTCCATCTTAGTATGATACCACCTACAGTCTGAAATAACACAGTGTTAATACTTTCTCTAGAGGGTCTAAGTTTTTCCAAACCCCTTTTCTGCTTTGAAGCCTTAATTCATTTGTAAGCCCAACTTCTGTCTAGTTATCCTAGAATTTTAAGTCATGTTCATACACAAAGTGAATAGGGAAAATCTTGGTAGCAACAGTACAAATTTAAGTATTCATGCTACTAATCAACTTACTGAGAAACAGACCGCACACATTGATGAAATTCTTAAATGCCTATAACATGAAGACTTCTAAAGGAAACTCTATTTTCCTTTGCTTATGGTACTAATTTCAGTAAGCACAAAGTTTATATCAACAGAGTGTCATACTCTACTTCTCATATAAAATAATATTTGGCATGTATTTAAAGAAAACTCATGTACTCGTTGCAGTTTACGGATATCTTTATTTGCCAGTCATTTTGCTTAATGCGTGAGTGTTATAAGAGACTGGTTGAGAAAATTAGGGAGAATAAAAACAAGTTGATGATTTCTACAAAACAAACAAACAAATGAAAAACTAATGCTGAGTGTAAGTCCATAACTAGATAGTGAGTCATTAGCATCAATAATAGCATAGCTTCTACATAAGATTGTTAAGAAAATCCTTGAGAAACAAGGAAAGTAGAAGAAGAAGTAAGATAGGCACTGTGCTAAATAATTTACAAGTATTATCTTATGTGATCCTCCCAATATCCCTATGACATGGATTTTGTTGTTATCCCCATTTCTCAGATGAGGTATCTGAAGTACAAGACTTAAAAATGCACTCAAGGTCTCACAGAGAGTTAGTAGTAGGTCAGTTAGAGCTCAGGTTATCAGGGTTATCAGGTTATTATGGTTATCAGGGTCCAAAGCCTCTATTATACTGCCACACTACTCTAGGTTTGTATTTTTACTTAGATGATACCATACTTGTTCAGACAATATTGCATAGTTTCCTATATCAAGATCGAAGTTACCACTTTGGATAAAATCCCTGACAAATTCCAGGATTAGTAAGAAGTTCAGTATGGCAGAAAGTGAAAAGGAGGAATAGAAGGAGGTGCTGTTAAAAATAAGAGCCTGAGGCAAAGTGTAACGAGCTTTACATGCCAAGTCAAGAACTTCAGATTTTATTCTACAGACCAAGGATCTTCATATTTTACTATGCATCAGAATCCTTAAGAGGGCTTAGACCCCATCCCCAGAGTTTCTGATGAACTTTGACTAGAAAGGAAGATTTGACGGCTATCTCAAAGTCTTTAGCTTGAGGGGCAAGATAGTTCATGATATTATTAAATGAGATAAAGACTGGAGGAAGCTGTAGATTATGTGGAAGAGAATATACTAAATCTTGTTTTAAGCTTATTAAGCTTGAGATGTTTTATGACAACAGGTGGAGATGACCAATGGGGAGTTCTAGACAGATCTGGAATTCAAGAGTGAGGGCAAGGGTAAAGACATTGAGTTGAAGAGTCAATAGCACAGAAATGGTTGTTCAAGCCACAGGTGTGGATGAAACATCTCAGAGCTTCACTAGAGGCCAGGAGTTTGAGAACAGCCTGGGCAACATAGCAAGACCTCATCTCTAAAAAAGTATTTTTAAAAATTAGCCTGGCATGGTGGTGTACACCTATAGTCGCAGCTACTTGGGACGCCGAGGCAGGAGGATCACCTGAGTGCAGGAGTTCGAGGTTACAGTGAGCTATGATCCTGCCACTGCACACCAGCCTGATGACAGAGTAAAACCCTATCTCTGAAAAAAATTGTGGGAAGACATCATTACAGCATGTGCATAGACATAGTCACTAAAGGAAATACAGAAAAAAACCACAGAACTCCCAGACATATAAAAGAAAAGCAAAAGTACAGGATAACCTCTGAAACCAAGTGAAGAAAGCATTTTGAGATAGATTATGGTCAACAGTATATCAAACAGTTTACTGAGAGTTAGTGAATACCTTTAATTTTTGATGTAAAGGACAACAGTACAACCTATTTCATTAACTTTTATTCTAATGGATCCATGGGGCTGGGAATATGAAGTAAAGCTCTAAAATAAAAAGCAGTAGAGTCATTTACAGTGTAATGCACTATCATTGGAAATTATTGTTAGAGCATCATAAATGTGGACACTGATGCATAAAGAGCACCAATGACTTGCCTTTAGTCATCACAGAGCCACAGCCAAATCAGCACGGAATGGAGTCTTCCGACTTTTTAGCAAACAACCCCTGGTGAGTATTAGGTGTCGAAACAAAACCCAAAACTAATAAATTGATTCTAACTAAAGACTCTATTTTTGTCTTACCCTCTGTAAAACAGGCCTCTGGCTCGTCTGAATTCACAGGTTCAGCCTCTGCTTCTTCTCCTTCTCCAGGCAGAGGGTTATCAACTGTGCTGCACTCTGAGGAACTCCATCGGTTCAATCTCTAAAAAGGAATTCACCACCCCACCAGAGAGTTCTTTTAGAGTTCATTCGAATCCTGCATTTAAGCCTCATTTAATAATCAGAGTCATGCAAAGTATTATGAAAAAAGATTAATAGTATGATGGCCATAAAAATGTACAAACACACATTGAGGTCAGGTAACCTTACAATGCATCTATACTTGATCTTTCTATTTACACCATCCCATGAAAAATAAATTTTATTATTTTTATGAAGCTAACAAGTAAGTGTTTGGACAAAATAAGCATAAGGTAATATTTTGATGTTAACTATCACTTTTTCAAAGTATTGACAACATATTATTATTTTTTATGTTTAATATAAATTTATTTACATGGGCACTATTTTAGGACAACCAAGACCCTAATAGTAATATTATACAAGTGCCAAATTGCCACTGCCTAATAATTCACAGTTCAGGTCTACAGTTGGCAGAAATACTTATTGATAGTTAAGATTAAAAAAAAGATTAGTGTAATATAAATCCCAAATGTATTTTTCTATTATCTCTTGGATTTAAGAATATGTAGCAGGATGATATAGATAGAAGATCTTTGATCAAAACCAAAAAAAAAAAATCAAATACTGTATTGGAATCAAAATGTCAATGACTATACCAACACCATCCATTTTAGACATAAAATTTTAGCATATAGTAAAAAGGATCATAAAGTATTATTTATAATGTCAAGAGAGTGGCTACTAAAGTGAGCACCACATGCAAATTCTGAAACAAAGATTCAATGAAATTAAACATGGCAGACTTACACATGGGAGTAATGAATTCATTGTCATTATGATCATATAATTGATCATAACACAAACACGTTTTTCCCACCCAGAACTTTATGATTAAAAATGATGTTTACACATGTACACATACATAGAAATTTTCAGAAAAAATACATACAGCAATTGTAGCAAAACTCCGTCAAATTTTCCTAATATTGTTTTATAAAAGAGTGGAGTAGCACATCAATGGAAGAATAGACTTTTCACTCTCATTTGCTAAGTGATATGTGGATACTGAAAACTACTACTTATTATAACACATACTTCTCTTATTAAGATTACAACTTTATTTTTTAGATAGTTCAAGCAAAGGCAAACACTAAAAATGAGAAAATACGTATTTCAGTTAAATTATTCTTCAATCTATTAATTTGCATTAATATAGGCCCAATCTAATGTACTAATTTTTAGAGATTGACTTGGAAGCTAGAGGTATTCTTTATGAGTACCACATTAAATTCTCAGTGCTAATATTATCTATCACACAGTATACAACATCAGTAAAAATGGCACTGACAAATTATTGTATACAAGGAATGATGCAAGCAAAGTCTATTTTATAACTGGAGTAAAGAATTATGAACACCCTATTAAGTGAATAAATACCTATAACTGTTGTTGGCATAGAGGCATTATTCCCACCAAGTTGAGGAGTTTGATAACAGTATGAGTTATGAACAATGTAACTATGAAATTTCACTTCAGAACAGGTTATTTAAAATGACTGAATTTATCTAAATTACTTAAAAATAAGAAAGTGAACTAGAAATTAAATATGACTGCATACTCTATAAGGCTTAAGGTTTTAAAATATACATAAATTTAGGGAACAATGTTGGGGAAATTTATAACTATTAATATGTCCTATTGTGCCAATTACCACACAAACAACTTTTAAATGCTATATCTAAAAGACTGCAGTTTTTAATGGATTCAATTCTTGACCTTTCAGCTGCAAGTGAACTTGTCACCAGGGAACTGAAGGACAAGGCCCTACAATTTTGTGAAGAGAAGACCAAGCCCTTTAACCCTGAAAAAAGAATTATTGGCCTAGGTTTTGAGGCAAAGCAGTGAGAGGAATTGCTGATAGGATGCACACAAAGCACCTCCCTGCTATTAGCCAGAATATTAAAAATAGGAAATAGTTATAATTGTTTTCACTCAGGTGGTAACAACTTTTAAATAAAATAATTCTTATTTGCAAAATTCTGATTTAGGCTAAATTGATGAAAATACCTTCAACACCAATATTTGGTTTTCTCATCATTTAAAAGAACATTAACAAAGATGTATGTCAAATTAGATGAGCAAGCAAAAATTCAGATGATTTTATGTAGTGTGTCTTGCCACTGAAACCTTTTTTTTCATATACAGCTTTTATGGCAACATTTCATTAATTAAATTCAATTTGGCTCAGATTTACATCATAAAGTTATTAAATATTATTGCTCACTAGAATAGAAAATTTAATTAATTAGTGTGGCAAGCCAAATGATTGTGGCTGATAGATTTTGGGAAATGCAATGTTTTCCTTCAAATGCATTAAGCATTCCATCAATAACTATTTCAGTACTGTATATAAAATTAAATATTTAAATGCATGTCCTAACGATATAGACAGTTTAGTTCTAATCAATTCAGCCTTTGAAATTCATACTTGCTACAGTATAAGTTTCTTTAAGAGAACCCTAAAAGAATGCCTTTAAATACAAAGGCTAATATCTATAATAAAAGTTTTCTCTTGAGGTGAAATTTATTTAATTCTTATAGCAAGCATCACTAG